GTAAAAGGTTCAGTTCTAAAATCTTACAGTTTCTTGTGCGCAACTTAACTTGTGCTGAATTGCAGTGGCTTAAATACTGGCAGCATTATTTTCTTATTGTGTGCTTTAGATCTAAGCTTATAAACAAAAAGCGTAAATCTACTAAGGCAACATAAAATTTATTTGATAAGATGAAAAGAAACAGAGAAACATGAGATTCGCCGTGGTGTCACACCCAGCTACTGGTATGACAAAAGCACATTTACGTCACCTTCACCTCAAACACCTTCATCAAAACACAATTTGCTGAATAGCAGAAGTGTTCGCTCTAATCCCTACTACTTGAGATTTCGTCTGCCTAAATGAGATTGGTGCGAATTCTTACAAATATTGTTGTGTTTTTCAAATTAGGGCAAGGGTAATGTAGTTTAAAAATTTGAAGTAATTTGAAAAGTCTACTCCTATGTTTGGGTCACGTAATACAAATTTTAGTTGCAAAACTATGACAGAAGAAGCTTAAAAATAAAACCACAGAACCAACGTTTAATCAAATTTAAAGAAAGGTATTCTTTTGCAGGTTCCTTGATGCTGGAAAATTAACATTGTGTAATTTATGTAACGGTGTTAATTGATGAACAATACAAAATACAACCATTGCGAAACGAAGTTTTATCCTGTGTGCCAAATAACCACATCTACGATCCGTGTAGTTTAGTTGGCAAGTAAAGTTGTAACAAAATTTTAATTTAGCATAACTTACCCAAAGGAGGTTTTGAAAAATCAAAATAATCTAGCCACATATACTTTTATTTGGAGTCATAGATCACATGGTTGATGACAGTCTGAGGCTTGAGAGAAGCCACTACCTGCTTGTGAACCATAAGGAAGAATTTGGGTATGAATTTAGAAAAAATTTTGATCGTGACATGATTTTTTGTCTTATTAAGAGTAATTACACAACACCATAGTTCCTATTACGCTAAAGCGAATTCAAATTCAAATAAAGCTCAAATGCGAGCAGCCAATATAAAGTGCATATTTTGGGGTTTCCGTACGCTGCTTCTAGC